AGAGTCACTTTCTCGAAGGCCACGTATGATTGTGGGGGCATCAGGGATGGTGTGTGGCCCGCCAAGATGCTTGATGAGACCAAATGCAAACAGACACTCTGACTCCCCTGGGCTCCTTGAGGCCTGACAGCAGGGAGCCAGGTCACCCCACCTGTGACACTTCGCAGTTGAGGGGCTGGTGTGAGTCATGCCCAAGCCTCCAGAGTGGGAGAATTTGGGGGAGCTCACAGGGCCTGGCGAAGTACCCCCAAGTGACTTAGAGGAACATCTCTCAGGTTCTGGAAGATGAGCTCCTGAGCTGAATATTTAGCAACCAGAAATAGGACTCAAGTCTAAAAAAAAAAAAAAAAGATAAAAAGCCTGAATTCATAGCACATCCCCAAAGAGCAACATTCAGATTTGTGAAAAGTGGCCAAAACATCATCTTAGAATAAGACAAAACCCAAAGGTACCTTGCCTGCTGGCCCTCAGCATGCCCCCACTAACAGCCTAGGTCAGAAACAGTGGGGGCGCTTAATACAGAGGACAGGTTTCAGGGCCACAGCACAGAGCCTGAGAAGGATGTGGCTCCCCGTGTTCCCGGGGTGATCTGATGGTCACCAGTGTAGAAAGCACCGATACTCCTCAGCCTCCCTGTGGGTTCCAACCCTAAGTGATCTTGCTGAAATGCAGACTCAGTTCCGGTCTGGGTGCAGTCTGAGATCTACATTTCTAATACTGCTGCTGCTCCCACACTGTAAACAGCAAAGCCATTCTCCAACCTTCACCTCTTACTGAGGAAACAAAATTGCAGGGGTTAGGGGAAGTGCTGAGCTGAGTATGCCCCCTACTCCTCCCCCCCCCCATTTACAATCGCCAAGATATGGAAACAACCCAATAGATGAATGAATCAAAAGTTGTGGTGTATTTATACGATGGAATACTACTTGGCAATCAAAAAGACAAACTCGTACTATTTGCAGCATGATGAAAATGGAAGAGACTATGCTGGCCAAAATTAGTCTGAAGGAAAAGAGAAATACCAGGCTTCACTTATATGTGGAATATAGAGAAAACCAAAGGTCAAAAAAAAGTCAAAACTAGAAGCTGACCATAGAACAGAGGCAGACAGCAAAGGAGAGGGAAGTTGGGGAACACAAAACTGGGGAAGGAAGAACACAGGAATATGGTGATCATTCACGGGTGATAAGGTGATGGGAGAACTATAGGGACTGCAGTATTGTAAGAAATAAGAAAAAGGAAAAGCCCCCTGGCTTATCCACTCACCAGACAACAGCCTCGGGCTTGCTTGCTAAAGATAGTGGGGCGTACACGGGGTCTTCCAAACACGGCAGGCAATGCCCACAGGAACAAATCCTCCTGCAACTGGATAACTGTTCACTCACACACACACACACACACACACACACACACACACGCACGCACTTTAGCAAGAGTAACTCAGAGTCTCCATCCAAATTCTGGCACATATTCTACGGTGCTGTTAAGGCACCCCAAAGCTTCCTGTTGCAGCTGAAGAAAATACACAGGTTCAAATACATGCACACCCCTTGACTCCCTGAAAAGTCCCAACAGAAAACACCCTGTCTCCCTAAGGCTCCGAGCTGGACGCCTCCGTCTCTCACTCTGCCCACTGTTTGTCCAGCTCATTCCCCAGTGTCTGTGGGGAGAGGTGGTTGCCAGGTTGCCATCAGGCCTTGGGCTGCCCACCCAGCAGACAGCCATTCCAGCATCTGTGCAAACTTGGAGGCTCAAATAAAGGAATAGTTCATGGAACAATCCATGGCCAGGAGGACTGGCAGCTGGTAAATAAAGATTTGCCTCTTCTGGGCCTCACGTGGGCAAATCAGAGTCACACTCATTTGCCACCCCTGGGTAGCCAACTGAACAAGGCACAGGTGGAGGGATTTTCCATCCTTCCCCTGTTTCCTCTGCTCAATCTCCACACTCCTGTTCCCTTCCTGAGAGAAACTGCCTGCAGATACGCATCACAGGCACTGCTTTTGAGGAAAAGTCAAGCTCACACAAGCCTCAGCAGTAGCACTAAATCCTGCTGAGCAGGGCAGAGGAGGCTGCAGACTTCAGGGGCCCACAGTGACCCAGAACCTTCCAGGCTCTCCCAAAAGCCAGCAGCCGCTGCCCAAGGCTCTCACAGCTGTGCAGGGTTGTTCTAAGAACAAATTAGGTCTTGTCCAAAAATAATTTAAGGTCCTCTGTGAGAAGTTGGAAACAAGAGGAAAGAAGCTAAAGGAATAAGCTTGTTTAGTTTGGAGAAGAGAAAGCAAAAACAAAGAGTTGTTCTCAACAGGAGCTGACATGGTAAGAATGAGGGAGAATGGGCTTCAGTTGTGGCTGAAGGAGTCTTCTGCCAGTTCGCTGCCACGTGAAGAGGGGTCTTTGGCTGAAGTGACGAGCTCTCCGACATGGAAAGCATTCAGCTAGGTGGGGAGATGCCCCCTTGGGGGCATAACGTGGGTGGAATTAAAGAAATTTTTAAGTTATTTCTAACCTTCTTTAGAAATCACAAGCCTTTTCAAACCAGGAGTTTGGGAACACGGGCCTCCCCCTCCCCCCCCCAAAAAAGAATGTCGCTCTATCTGTGACTCTTCAATCCCACCCCAGCCATCTCCCCGCATCTTAATCACACACACAGTTCAAGAACACGCGCCGCGGCCTGGGTTCCGAGGCCACAGAGCAGGCTGCTGTGCTGTGGGGTCTTGGCGCCCCCTCGTGGCTCATTTGCCCATTGCAGCCCCATTGCTCCTTTGAGCTCCACGAGTGACCGAGTGACCGAGTGACCACAGTGTTAACTCAACAAGTGCATTGATCCAAGCTACCGACTCGGCACTGTACTGGAAGCTACCGGAACCCGGTGCAAAAGTAAGCAAATAATACGTGGTCTCCCTTCCATGAGATTTAGGACCTGGCAGAGTTGACCATAAGCAAGCAAACAACTGAGACCTAGACATTGTGACGGCATCGGAAGCAAGACAGCCTAAGTCAGTCCCGTTGCCGTGACAGCTGCCGCCTTCCTACCTGGAGCCCGCTGCTCCTGGGTCTTGCGCGGCGAGGAAGGGGTCCGCCTCAGATGCGCAGGCACAGGCACGTTCCGAGGAGGCGGTGACCCAACCAAGGGCTTTTATAAGACGAGGCCCACGCAGCTGCTCCCTCATTTAAATCAGCAACCCGCGGGCACCAAGACCTCGGAAGCTGCCCCAGATGATTCCAATGGGCAGCCGAGATTGAGAACAGCTGATCTGGCAGTAACACGCAGGACGAGTCCGACTCTTGCCCACGCAGGGCCTCTTGCCCACGTGGGAGCCGCGCGGGGCCCCGCCCTCCGCTCGTGCCCAGTGATGTCCCACCTGGCTGCTTCCCGTGCGGGCCCCCGACCGCGTGAGCTGACGGTGCCCACCCGCGTCCCTAGGTGACCCCGCGCACGCGGGCTGCTGGAGGCAAGAGTGGGGTTCCCTCGGCCTTGTAGCTCACCAGGCTTTCCCGAGGACAGGGGCTCCAGCCTTTCTCAACCACAGAAAGGCTCGGGGTGGGGGTGGGGGGCTCCTGCGTGTCCCCAACCTGGGACTGATTACCAGGTGATTCGAATGTCCCGCAAAGGACTGAAAACCACTGTTGCCCAAGCCAGCAGTTGCGGTCCTCTGTTGTTCCGGGGTGAGCAACATGGCTGTGTAACGAGGGGTGCTGCCCTGAGTGACCCACAGTTGCCAGTCTGTTACCTGCTGTTATCTGCCAGGCAGCGCAGTCCTTCCAGATGACTGAAGAGTCCAGGCAACCGCCCAGTCCAGTGCCCGCCTCCCTCCCCACTGGCTGGGAGGAAGAAGTCTCATATGGCAGCAGGCGCAACAGCAATGCACAGAGCGCAGGAGGTGCGGTTACCTGCTCACTTCCTGTGTCCAGTAAGAGGATGAACACTAGGCTGAAGGAATCAAGCCCCAAAGGAATCGGCAGAACTGCAAGTGCACCTGTAGATCAGGTCAAGTCTTCTCTGAGGATTACTGATGCTGCTCTTAAAGAAAACGATCATCTCAAAACCTAGACACACATGGACTAGGAAGGGTGATCCCAGGGCTTAATGTTATTCATGTTGCTTATCCGCATTTTCCAAGTTTTCTATGATGAATAATTAAAGTATTACTTTTACAGTATTGTAGAAAGCAGAGCTTAAGCACAAAAGCAATTTGTATGCAATTCAAGACCATAGCAGGTCTGAGTGTTCGCTCACAACTCTGCAATAGAGGACATTCCCTGACTTGTGAACTCAGAAATCTCTGCCCCCTGGACAAGGGACCTCGCTGTGTTTACTTGTAGTTCAGCAGCCCTAGACAGTGACAGGGATCTCGCAGGCTCAAAATAAGTAGGATGGGCACCATCCTACTGCTGTGGAGGATAACGTCATTCCCAAAGGTCTTTTGTATGAATGCATCCTTTATATTGACAGATTCTGTCAGTGTTTTCTAGAGAATACTCCATGAAACCCATGTTCTCTGGACAACAGGTATGGAAAAGAAAAAAAAAAAAAAAAACAAAACCGAGTGTGCGTGGAGGCAGGAGCAGGCTGGGAAGACAGGTGTCCTTGCTGAAGGTCTCACCGGAGCCTTCATGGTACCGGCCACTCATCGTGGCTCTGCAATGTGACAGAGCACATAACTCTCCTCACATATGGCCATGAACGACCCTTTTTCCAGGAAATATCTCCAGGCCCTAGTGCCCCCAAAAATATATTTTGGAAAATGCTCGTCTGTCCTTCCAGTATGTGGCTCCTTCATCTACACCCACAAAGCAGAGTAACAGGGCCGTGTCCCCTGTCTCGTGGCCAAGCCCAGGGAGGGAGCTGCACAAAGTGAGGGGAGGGAACTCAGTGTGCTCACACTTCTGTCATCAAGCAAGCTGAGCCACGATGAAGTGATGTGGAGCCTAGAAAACGGATGAAGATGGTCCAATAAGTATTCACAGCTGAACATCAGGTGACATTTTAATTTATTCTGTTTACAGACACCACTGTTACAGGTTGTTTTTTTTTCCAGTCTCATTTGGGTTGAACATAAATCCATGCAGAGACAGTGAGAGGAAAAACACCAGCCATTTCATAGGCTACTGTATATCGATGTGTCTCTCCCAAAGACATTTAACAAATGTTACTGCAAAAGCCCAATGCATTTACATGAAATAATATGTAACTACACGTTTAAAAAAAAAAAAAAACTGCTCAAGCTGTGCTAGAAATATATGGTAGGACAATAACGGACTGAGGTTGTAAGTTAAATATACATGGCAACCAAAAGAGAGAAGCTAGTTTCTCTGCAAGAGAAAAGCCAATGATGACACCTCAGTTCCTGCCAGACAAGAGCCCTTTCTGTAACACCCTGCCCAGAAATCTCAGCTGGACAGTGTGATTGCATCAGTGTGTACAGCAGCCTGTATTTCAGTTAGCACCTTGTAGAGGTTAAGTATTGCACTGTACCGCTACATTTACCAAAGTGTGTTCCCAAGAACACTATTCCCACAAAGTGCTCCTTGCAAAGGGGCTTGGGAATCAAAGAGATTTTAAAAATACTATAGCCTATTTTCTACTTCCTGGAGACTCACAATGAACATTATCACATGGAAGGTTCTGGAAGTTCTTCAGAAAGAAACACAACTTTGTTTAAGCTAGAGTTTCCCAAATCAATCTGACCTTGGAATCTTTTTTTTTTTTTTTTTGCCTAGAACATATTTTGAGAAATGTTCCTTCATGGTACAGAGAAATTAATTTCTAAAATCATGTGTGGGTCAACAACAAAGAGGATGTGGGTGTCATAAAAAATGAGGCCCCATTCTAATTCCATCCCAATACTTGCCATGACAGAGCCTGCCTGAGGAGAGGCAAAAGCTGAGTTCTATGATTTTCCTTTTTCTGGTGTTAAGTATAGGCAGGCTGACACAGCACTGAACGTGGGGGGAAGGAGAGGGAGGAGGGAGGGCATTTTATGTAACAGGCAGGAGCCTATTTCTCTTCCTCTTCTGTAATCATCAAATCATTGAATAACCACTATTGCTTATCACATACCTACAAGATTTTTCAAACAGACTTGACAGCCCTTTGTTCGTAATTAAAAAAAAAAAAAAAAAGGTTCAAGAAAACACCAGCATTTCTAATTAACTTCAGCAAGAAATTACAGACCCAGAAAAATCATAAAAGCTTTCGGCCATATATGTCAAATAAAGTACTACAGCAAGGGCGGTAAGGTAGAAATCAATGAGGTTACTGCAGTGATGTAACATTTCATCCACTCGCATAATACATGACTTAAAATTCTTGTTCCCAAGACATTTCACATGATTTTCTGAAGCAGAAGATGTGGAAAACAAATCCCTCCATTTCGGGGCTTGGCAGTTACCACACCCGCGTGGGTGTGACGGCACTCACAGCTCAATAGCGATCCTTGCAAATCGATACTGCAGAGATGCAGGAGGCCTCAGCAACACTAAGCCCCTCTCTGCTGCGGGCTGGCTGGACAGCATATCCAGCAGGCCTGTCAAACTAACAAACCCCAGAGCTTCTCCACAGCCCACAGCCATGGAGAAATCTCCCTGTGTAACAAAGCCGAGGAGAACTCTGGAGCAGTGAGAAGTGACAGCTGGGAGAGGGCCTGACCACAAGCCCAGGGTCAGAGCATGCTGCTTGGCTGCGGGGGCCCCCGCTGCCAGGCCCTCAGACGCAGCACACCCTGAGTTCTGCTGCTTCTCTGTTTTCTTCATCTCCTTCTGTTTCCGGATGACGCTCTTGAACGGGTCGCCATGTTTGGTTTCCTGGGGGCCACGGTAGAGCCGATCGTGACTGAGCCGGAGGAAGTCTTCCGTGTCTGGGACACAGATCATGGTATGCGGCTCTGGGCTGCCCTTCCTGAGCAAGGATAGGCTGACCCACACCAGAGCCCTGGGGAAGCGGCCCAACATAGCCAGACAGGCCTCTCTGGTCAACTCCTGCTGTCCTCTGCTGGCAGCTCTCCTGGCTGCCCGACTGTCCCCAGAGCTGGGCTCACACCAAGCTGACAGTTGCTTCAGGGATTTTCTGCTCCTACATGAAGTTAGAGACACATGTATGAGGCTACTTTGTTCAAATATTAAGTAGGCAACTAAGAGTCTGGGCATTGCTAGAGTTCAATTTTTTTAATAATATGTGGGAAAGTATCCAAACCCTAATTTTTAAACATTTTTATAATGATATTTTTCTTTTTGTGTGACTATTATGTACAGCTGAAGGACTACAGTTTAACAAGTTTAAGGCAAAGAAAAATGAAAGACCATGGGCTGTTCTCTAAAGCTGTCAATCAGAGTAAGAAAACAGGATAAAGACGAGTTGAGATCTTCATGAGTTAAGGAACTCTAGGGGGTTCCTTATGAAAAGTAAGGTTACAGGTTTACTATGCAGACAAAGAAGTATAAGGGAGGGATAAGCCCTTTTTAAAATCAGAGCACAGAGCCTTCCTGGTGGTGTAGGGGGTTGAGCCTGGGCACTATGGAGCTATCACCAGCCAGTGCAACACAAGTTCGATCCCCAGCCAGGGAGGTGACCCACATGGCGCAGCAGGTCTCTCCTGTCTGTCTGTGGCTCCCCTCAGCAGTGTATTTCAGTGGATCCACCTGTTCTGTTCCCCACTGTCTCTGGTGAATCCTCTCTCATCCCCCACACTTCTGGCCTACACCACAGCCCTTGTATGCATAAATAAATAAAATAAATCTGTAAAGATTAGAACACAGAATTAAGAGTGATGTTAGCAAAGCATAAGATGAGAAAAACTTAATAGCGTGTGGCAGTATTGAGTGGGGCACCTTTTATGTGCTAGTCCCCACGATGTGATAGCATGAGTGGAATGGACACTTATACTGCCACAAGTTCAGATCATTCCAAAGGAGGAACTAGGAGAAACCTAATGCTGTGACTGAAAGCAGAGAATACTCGCTCAGAGTTCGCAAGGCTCCTCATTGCCTAAGTGCAGTCTTGAGGAGGCTGCTTTGTGAGAAAGACTAAACTTAACAGGTCACAGGAAAAAAAAAAAGCTTTAGCTTAGGTTACTGATGACAATATTGTAAAGCACTGTGTTAGCAGCAGGACCAAAATCAACAGTTGTTCCGCTATTTCCATGAAATATGAAACTGAAGGGCTGGCTTTCCTTTCCTGAAAGTCCACGTATTCACTAGGGCTTTGCATAAAGGAACACTGACAACACTTACACCCTGTAGTCTGTTCAGTATTAAAACAGATCATCCAAAACAGGCCCAGAAGTTGCTCGCGCTTACCTGAGAACACAGAGACCAACCGAGGCGACTGGGCCTGCCACCCACGCCTTGTCTGGGCACTCTGTGTCCACCACTCCTTCCCGTTCACAGGAGTGGCTGGCGGGGCTGTCCCCCTCACTGAGCAGCTGGCCAGACTCCTCACGTGTGGCGGTGCAAGGCACTGTGTCTTCTCTCCAGTCGCTCTCCGCACTACAGGGGGAGGCAGATACGGAAGGCTCCTCTTGGGCCTGAGCTCTGAATTCCCAGTCCTGAGTCAACTGCTCCCAGGGGCTCTGGAAGGGGGCCAGAGTGCCAAGCTTAACATAGTTGGGCCGTTTTGCAGGAGGGCGCCTGATGAAAACCCAAGAGGAGAACCGAGTTTAAACAATTTAAAAGGGACAATTAAAATACTTATGGGGCCCTCCCTGGTGGCGCAGCGGGCTAAAGCACAGCACTAAGAAGCTAAAGCCACTTCCGCAAGAGTTCGATCCCCACCTGCCATGCAGGTGACCCACATGGTGCCTGACCCACTGCTCCCCTCAGCAATGTACTTCGTTGATCTGCCTGTTCTGCTCCCCGTTCTGTCTCTGGTGAATCCTCTCACCCTCCTCATCTCTGGCCTGTACCCCAGTTCTATATGAATAAATAAATCTAAAAAAAAAAACAAGGTCACCGGGATCAAGACCCTAGCTCTGAGAAGTTCTGTCTTATTCTAACAAGATCAGAGCTGCCTCTAAGAGACTGAGTGGAGCTGAGCCCTCCAAGTACCCAGTGAGAGTGCAGGTGCCTTGTAGGAGGCGCGGAGATGCTGGCTCACAACTGTGGCTCTGCGACCCCCACCTTTGTGGCCTTGGAAAAAAGAGATAATCTCACCCAGCCTGGCCTGTTTATCTCTAAAAGTAAGTTAATAATTCCTACCTCACAGAAAAATAATAGCCATAAATGGCACTATTTGCTTTCAGGCACCGGCACTGCAAAGTACGGTTGTAAAATCAGTTAGCTCTCCTCGCCCCTCCTCCTCATCATATTGTGGGAGGGTGGTCAGGACAGGGTGGTCCCCAGGGAACCCTGGATCTGCTTGTTCTGCTCCCCACTCTGACTCTGGTGAATCCTCTCACTGCTCCTGCACCTCTGGCCTGTACCCCCAGATCTGCATGCATAAATAAATCTTAAAAAAAAAATACTTATGGCATTGCACTACATCTGTTTTTAAAAATCAATCTGACAAAAAATGTTTTGTAAGAAATACAATAACATGTTAATAACAACTTTACTGGCTGAGCTCTTGTTTTCTTTGATTTTTATTTTAATAGAAAATAATATATCCAGAGAGCAGCCCCAAATGGGCACCCAGGAGTGCCACTCCTGTAAGGAGGCCCTGCCTTCTGCTAGGTTGTAAGTTCAAAAGGTATCAAAAGGGTGACAGTGGCTCCCCCCTTAACTTGGCTGCTAGTTAACCTGACTACTTAACTTGACAGCTGCCCTCCAGACATCCAATGTCATAATCAGATTCTCATCGACTGGTCCAGAGATCCTGCCTGCGCACACTGACAGACATGTACAGCTTCTTTCTTTTCTTAAGCCCATTTTAAAACAAATAGCATACCGTAGCGTAACTTCTGCTTACCTTTTTCTCATTTAACAAAACATTTTGGAGATGATTTTACATTAACATACCAAGAGGATCCTCATTCTTTTGTAAAAGCCTACCAGTCTTTTTTCTAAACTACCCATTTATATGATTATATTCTAATTTATTTCATCATTTCCTCTCTTGCAGGACATTGGGGTTATTTTCAAGTTTTTGCTTCTGTAAACATTGCTGCAATGAATAACCTTGAACATGTTACATAAGCACAACTATAGCCACAGGGTAAGTTTGGAGATGGAATTGCTCAGGGAAAATACTAGGATTTGCAACTTTGACAGTTTTAATTCCAAAATGCTCTCCTCAGGGTGATAGCAACTGACCTTTCCAGTAATGTGTAAACAAGGGAGAGAACCTTTGAGCCACACCACAGCTAGCGCACGGGGCCTGCTCTAGTGCTTGCTGACCCTAAAAGCTAATCTGTTGGCTGGAAAACCCATAGGTATTCCAGGCTGGAGAGCCCTCAGGGGACCCACACTGTGTCCTCAGACTGCTTTGGAACAGGCCCAGACATTCCTTCCCCCCAATTACTTCTTACTGTGTGCAACGCCCTAAGATCTAAAATAGAAAGCAATGTGTAAGCTTTAGGGGGGGTTTAATTTATTCTGAAGATTGAACCAAATGTGTACTTGTCTCTTGAGAGGGGTGGCTAGTAAAAAGCACTCTGGGCGGCACTTGCTTCATCCAGAGATTTCTAGAGGGAAATAAATGGGTAGTTTACGAAAAAGACATACGATGGTGATAAACAAAAATATCCAACCTCACAAGTAAGCAAACAAAACAATTAAAAGAATGAGACCGCATCTTTTACCTACCAGCTTTGTCAGTATAAAGGACCAGTGCTCTCATAAGATGCTAGGTGAGGCCCTCCCTGGTAGCGCAACAGGTTAAAGCACAGCACCATGAAGCTATCGCAGCCACTGCAGCAGGAATTCGATCCCTGGCCCAGGAGGTGACCCACACGGTGCAACAGACCTCTCCTGACCCGCCCGCTGCTCCCCTCAGCAGTGTATTTCATCAATTTACCTGCTCTGCTCCCCACTCTGTCTCTGGTGAATCCTCTCACCACCACCCCCACACCTCTGGCCTATACCCCAGTCTGTATGCATAAAGAAATAAATCTTTAAAAAGAAAATAAGATGCTGGGTGGAAAACAGATATTTCCTAACCACAGGTGAAATCCTAAATTAACAAAACAGCAAATTGCCGAGGATACCTCAAGTCTTGAAAGGGCGTTACCTCTTTTTTTAGCCAGAAATCTTTCTTAGGGAGGTTAGCCCACCTGTGTGCTTCCCTGACAGCTCTCCCCAAGTGATGGCTTTTTCCACCCCACGGCCAAGTGGCGGCACGCCCGCTCCGATCCAGTTTCCCTCCACCTCCTTCAAGACCCCTGAAGATAAACCACCTGCTCTCCTTCTTCCTCAACCAGAGCTGCTCAATTTCCCAGATGCCCCACTCACACTCCTTTCTGCTCCTTCATAACCCTGGTCTCACTCAGTGGCTCTGGCACCTGCAGGTACCACGAGCGCCCTGGGCTACCAGAAGCTGCGCTCTTCACTCCGCCCTACCCCAACCACCCACTCTCCTGGCCACAGCTTAGTTTTCAGTCATTGCCAACACCTGCTCTGCTTTAAAATCTCAGTTTTGGCCCTCCCTGGTGGTGCAGCAGGTTAAAGCACAGCACTAAGAAGCTAAAGCCACTTCAGATGAGTTTGCTCCCTACCCCGGAGGTGACCACACGGCATGGCAGACCTCTCCTGACCCACCTGCTGCCCCCTCAGCAGTGTGCTTCGTCAGTCGGCCTGTTCTGCTCCCCACTGTCTCTGGTGAATCCTCTCATTGCCCCTGCACCTCTGGCCTGTACCCCAGTTTTGTATGCACAAATAAATGTTTTTTAAAAAAATTTCAGTTTCAAGTATCCTACACTCACTGAGGTCCGCTACCTTTCCCCCCATGTCCCTCCTCCTGTAACAGCTTCTCAACCACAGGAACTGGGTATTCATTTACCGTTTCCTTGCTGCTCACCCCTACTGTCACATCTCCCTCCTCACAAGCTGAGACACCCGGGTTCATGTGAGAGGTACTCCCCCTTCAGGGACCCTCGGCGCCCTTCACCTGGCAAAGCCCATCCTGACTGCAGTCAGCCCTTGGGAAGAAAATGCATCAGTCCTGAATGGTCTCACTGTATACAGGCGAAATCTCTCATGGATTCTCCAGGTTAGTAGAAAACAGAGGTTCCCAGCATTCAAATGTACTTCTCAGGATAAAAAGAAAGTCACCTGATCCACCAATCCCCAGAGCAAAACTGTAAGAAAAAAAAATCTAGATGGATAGATACTAAAATGTAAAAACAGAGCTTACATCTCTGGATGATAAGAATAACCAGTTGGTGTGTTTCCAAAGTTCCATTAACTTTCACAAATATGTATTCTTTCTTTTTTCTTTTTTTGAGATTTTATTTATTTACGCATACAGTACTGGGTTACAGGTCAGAGGTGCAAGGGCCGTGAGAGAATTCACCAGAGACAGAGTGGGGAGCAGAGTAGGCTGACTGACAAAGTACACTGCTGAGGGAAGCAGCGGGCGGGTCAGGAGAGGTCTCCCGCACCATGTCACCTCCGGGGCTCAGGACCTAATGCGCACTGAAGCAACCATGAGCAGCTTTGCAATGCTGCACTCCATCCAGCTACGCCACCATGGAGGGCCCAATGTGTATTATTTATATAACCAGTTATTAAAAAAAAACTGTTTCCCTTTTGAGGAGACAAGGGTTGATAGGGAATCTATTAGCAATTGTGTGATGCCCACGTTTAGCTGCATCATTATCAATGTAAGCAAATAGCCACAGCAGAGTGTGTAACCTGGTGTGATGGCAGACAAGCACAAGGCACCCTGGGGGCCGGAAGGCGGAGAGGCTGGCAGGCCTCCCGGCCCTGGCAAATCTTCACTCTCTCTTTGGCTCTCTCTGGCGTCATTCCAGTCTCTTCCTAGTCTCTTCCTCTGCAGCCATTCTGTCCACCTCCCTCTGTGAGGCTGCCCTAATAGCCTCAGCCTCCAGGCTCAGGTGTGCCTCTTCCACAGGCCCATACCACACTCCAGGTGTCCACCCTCAGGCGCCTGGGCCCACACTTTCAAGCGCCTTCTACATTCAAGGCACAGGTGAGAGACAAAGACCAACAATGCAAAAGCCTGCGCAAGCTTCATTTATCCCACACCTTGGTAGGAGATATAAGATAACCTCCCCACTTGAGTGAAATCTTTATGTCCTGGTAATGGTGTATTCAAGGAATTAGGAGGGACTATGAGAGCCCTTCATAAGGCAGGTTACTGAAGCCACCTGAGAGATCACTGGCCAGTGTAAGTAGGCACTTCACTTCCCTTTAAGACATTATCAAACTAGAAAAGCTGGTTATTACCTTTTGTACTTTTCAAGAAGATTCTTAGCTTGTTCTTCAGCAAAAAGAATCCCAGCAGGGCAGTCTGGGAAATCACCTGGAATGTTGGGTGACCTTTTATACTGAGAATGTACTAGAGCCTCTTTTAATCCTCCAACTCTTGCCCCTCGATAGATCTACAAGAAATATCAAAAAGATCCTATCAATACACCAACTGAAAGTGAAATTGAGAGATTATTTATGGGAAACAACCTAAATGCCTATCAGATAGAGAGTAGGTAAACACACCCTGGAATAATCCTACTACTGCTTATTATAAAAAATGAATGAAATGAGTTTCATCAACCAGCATGGAAAACCTCAATGCTGAGTGTTGCAAGCTGTAAAAGCAAATATACAATGAAGTATATAAAGCTGGAAAACAAGTTAGTTACAGTAACTTTCTTTTGGGACAATGGCATACTCGAGGGCCTGGTAATGACAAACACCAAGAACAGGGACAGTGATTCTTTTAGTGATTCTTTTTAGAGGGAGCGCATGGGATCAGAGACGGTGACACGGAGTATTTCCAAAGAGTCTGTGATGTTCCATCAAGCTGGATGGCTGGCAAAAGGTACCCCGGCACTCATATCACTATCTAAACCTTTTTATATGTTTGAAACATTTCACAATTAAAAAATTAAACAAAATTTTAAAAAATATTCCCACTGGTAAATGATTATCTTTTGCACTAGGGATAATCACCAAAATCAATTACCTACATGAATCTTAACTATTTTTGTATGCTTGCTGGCTCAAGTGACACTTAAACTAACCAGGGGGAAAAATACACATTGCATTTTAAATAGATTTTTAGCTGTATTTAAAAAGGAATATATGGTCAGCACTTAAAAAAAAATTATGAATTCTCTACAACCATTAAAAAAATTAATCCTTTTGCTTTCAAACTGTAACAAATTTCAAGCAAAAATTTAACTTAAAAAGTGTTGTTACTATTTTATCTGACCACTTCCAAACTTCAAAAATTCACACTACGTAGCACAACTCTTACTAACAAAAACCGAGCTTCGGAGGGTTGATTTCTTGATTTTTTTTTTTTTGTATTAAGTTTCTTTTAGCCAGGATTGTAGCTGTAAGGGCAGAAAAATAGCACCTAATTTCTAAATGGGGCTAACGTCAGGAACATTACCAGCAATTGGTACTTCTCAGAAATGTATTTTAAATGTTGCAACTCTTAGAATCAAAAAGGAACTTACAAATGGAATCCAGAAAGCCATGCCCCAGCCCTTGGGAAGCAGGACATCCCAGCCGCTGCCCCAGCCTCGGCGGTCGTCACCAGCCACCTTCCCCGGCTGCTGAATCAGAAGGATAGGTATCTTGGACTCGTGGGGACCTAAAACAAGCTGAGACCCAGGCACCAGCAATTCACTTCTTTTCCGGTTTAAATCCTAAAGTGGAAGAAAATAATTCAAGACAAACAACCCTAGTCTTCTGAGATATTCTACTGGGTCTCTCTCTAAGCAATTTAAGGATGTTAAATTCTCTCTACAAAAATAAACAACAAACAGGTGTTCTAAGTCAATAAATATGAGCCACGTGAAGGTAAGGTACTCCTCCTACCATGAAGATGGTTCCCTATTTGCCAGATTTCTTTATATTGGGGCTGCAATATACTCATTTCAAGGTCTTAAAATGATATACGTTCATGCTGCTCATTTTCTAGCAGGATTAAACTTATTAAGTGAACCGTATGGAGTAGCATCCCTTCTGATTTTTCATGACAGCTGTATGTAGGTGAGAGGTCAACCCTCTATTTAGAAATGAAACAAGAGGCCTCTTTCTTCTTCATTCTTGTTTCTTGTGCTGAAATCTAAAGCTTCCTCTAGGCTGTTTTCCAGCCATGACAAAGTCCTGATTGTCCTTTGGTCGAGGTTCTGTACGTGGGTAATTCCAAAATACAGCAGGTCCTCAAATAACTTCATTTCATATAAAACTGGCCAAGATTTCCTCCCCTTTCATCAGGAGCTTGGTTCCAAATAAAGCTATGCGTACACTCCATAGGCACACCCTCCAGCAGCAGCTGTCTAACTTTCTCATTCTCTAAGAGGGAAAAGAAATAACCTTCAAACCACATCTGCTAGACCAATGCTGCCTTCAGACCAAAGGACGTTGAACTTAAATGACTTTATTCCATGACCTGCATTGTTGTTTTGCTTAAAGTAACAGTTGCCAAGAACCTACAGACATTAAGTTAGGACTGACTGAGTGGACTATTTTTTTTTTTTTTTTGCTCAAAGGCTTCTGGGATTGAAACCTGACTCTACTTCCAGGAAAACCCTAAGCCCCTCAAAGTCAATATACCCAAGACTGCATACTCATCTCTCCTTCTGTATTCCCCATCTAGTTGAATGACACCACAATTCACTCACTCATTCATTCAAATAGTGACCATTTATTCACTTACTCATTCAGTCAACTATTTACTGAGCACCTGATATGGGCTTTCTTGAACTTGGAAAAAGAGCAATGACAAAGCAAAACTGGATCTGGTACTCTTCTAGCTGAGCTGCAAGACCGAAACTCAACCCTTAGGAGCTAATTTATAAGCATCCTTTCTCGCGCTCCATCTTCCAACCAACCACCAAGTCTTGTCAATTTTACCTTATTGGAATATATACTAAACCCAGCCCCTCTGCTCCAGTCACACTCACAAGTCAGGGCCCATCACGTCTTACCTATTGCCAGGGTCTCTTTAAAGACCACCCAGCTTCTCTCCAGCTTCTATACCTCAACCCCTGTCCCTAGTCATATCCACTCTCAACAGTGCTGCCTGAGAGGAATCTGATCATGTCATGACAGGCATCCAACATCTTCCATTCAAACCCTTAACATGCCTCAAGGTCTTTTACGCTCCTATTTATTTCTGCAGCTTCAATTCTTGCCCCACACTTGCCTCTAAGCTACTGATCTACCTAGAGATTAATGAGTACAGCACTTGGTTTAGGCCTGACTCCTTGCACATGTTGTTCTTACAGTAATCCTTTCTCCAGTGTAGGCTTAGTTCCTGGATCCTGGACACTGGACTATGGACCCTGGACCCAAGAGGTCTGGTTAATTCTGACCACTCACCTAAGCGTCAGCTCAAATACCTGCTTCTCCTAATTTTCCTAATTTGGGTTTAGTACTCCTTTTTGGGGCTTTCCTTTGTGCATTTTTTGCTCATGTCTAGTCACCTACTCCATGATATCCAATCCCAACAGGAGCTCAATCATTGTGAAATTAAAGACAGGGCATTTTACTGGGAAAAACAACAAAAGAGATATTTAAACCATAAGATTACCATTCAATGAAGACCCTATGTTAATGTTTTCTAAATTATTCTTATGTAAGAATAAAGGGGAAAATCATAGTATGTATGTTAAGTAAGGTACCAATAAACTGAAAATGAAGGGAAGACTATGGTACTGATAAAGTAAACAATAACTTTATGGTGTCTTAAGTGATGAATTTCAACCTGTCATTTACAACTTTACCAATAATCCTTACACTATTAGTTACCTGATCCGAGATTTTATTCTCTGTGACACTCTTACAGATAGCTTGATTCCAAATAAAGCTATGCGTACACTCCACAGGCACACCCTCCAGCAGCAGCTGTCTAACTTTCTCATTATCTAAGAGGGAAAAGAAATAACCTTCAAACCACATCCTTTAGACCAATGATGCCAAATCCTAAGCATTGTCAACTGACCTTTAGTTACAAGAAAATATTCTGTAGGCACTACTTAACTTCTCTGGAAGAATTTACTTGACCAGAAATTAAGTTGTTCTTTTTTCTTTTTGAAGATTTTATTTTTATCTATTTTTGCTTAGAAGAACTGGGGTGCAGGCCAGAGCTGTGAGGGGTGGGGAGTTGTGAGAGGATTCACCAGAGACAGAGTGGGGAGCAGAACAGGCAGATCTGCTGAAGTACACTGCTGAGGGGGGCCCCGGGCAAGACAGGAGAGGCCTGCTGCACCATGTGGGTCAGTTCCCCGGCCAGGGATCAAACTCAGGTCTTAACCCCTAGGCCACCAAGGAGGGCCCAGAAATTAAGTTATTCTAATAGTTGGTTTGATAACCTGTGAAACAGCAGACTCAAACTCTTTTCTTTGACATTTACTTTTAATGTATAAGATGCAAATATCACATTAAATTGCCTCTATATAACTGTTGCCTGACTTCACATGTAAGATAATCAAACTCAAGGAACCAATACACAGGTGGACAGTTTCATGATAACAGGCCATGTTCTAATTATTGTTTCAGGGCTCTCAATATCACTGCTGGCTCAGTGGGGCGAGTCAACAAGGAAAGTCCTTTCCTCTGTCCTGTTTTTTCAAGTCTCTGATAACCTCTTCTTATTGAACTAAATATTTAATCTATTCTGTAAAATGTAGCTTTTTCATTCCTTTAAAATGAGCATAATTTCTATGAAATATATTGTTCCATCCTTTAAATAAGCCACACTGTGCTGAAAAGGTACTCTAATGGGAAAGGACTTTCTTCAACTAAAAGCATATATAAAGAAAAGAAACTTCCTATGGCAGTCATTTAAACACTAAGGAAATAAAAGTCTTCTAAATTTTATTTTGTTAGATTGAATAAATGAAAAAAAAAAAAAGGTCAGGCAAGTCATGAGTTTTGGCTTTTTGGCTTTTGGTTAAGGCCCTAAAATGTCAACATAGGTCACTCAAAAGCACATACCTGCATGGGTCTGATGGCTGGAAAAAAAATAAGTTGGAAGCAACCGGACCATAATGTGATAGATTTTGGGGGAGAACAAAGTTAGACAAAATTAAATTGATGAAAAGATCTGAGATGAGAGCTTCTTAAAAGCAGCAACTGCTCCTAGCACACTGCGCTTCCTCATAGAATAATCAACAGCGACTCAAGGAATGATGCTGTGCAACACAAACACTCCCATGCCTGTCCACGAGCACACCCATCCACTGAAACCCCTGTTCTGTGGAGCCCTGCATAGGTTTTAGTGGCAGACTGGGACTTTACTCAGACTTAGTGGTAGACAAAAGATAGACGGCTGATGCTTAGGGTGTAAACTACAGGAAAGTACATCATTTTCAAATATTCCCAAAAAATAGATGAAACAAAGTAGATGGTATATGCAGGCAATGGAATATTTTTAGTACTTGAAAGAACTGAGCTATCAAGCCATGATAAGACATGGAGTAAATTTATGTGCATATTACTACATAAGAAACCCATCTAAAAAGACTAGATGTTGTTCGACTCCCCCGACATAGTACTCTGGTTGGAAGCAAAACAAGACAGAGACAGTAAAGTGACAAAGAACCTCAGGGAGGAAGAGCAGAATGAACTGGCAGAACATAACAGACTTTCATGATAGTGAAACTATTCCATATGATATTATAAAGAAAACACATGTTGAAAACACAAGCATTTATCTAAACCCATAGAAATGAACATCAAGAGTAAATCCTAATATAAACTATGGAGTTTGGGTAAAAACGATGTATCAAGTAAGTTTATAGTCTATAATAAACTTGTCACTCTGGGGCAGGACGTTGATAGTTGGGGAGACTGGAAGTGTTCCAGTGAATTAAGTTTTAGATCATACATAAACCAAACACCTCATTGTCAAACTACAAAAAAAAAATCAAAGATAAAGAGAAAATCTTGTAGGAAGCAAGGAAAAGTAACTTATAAGGGCTCTCAACTTAGGTATACCCCAGATTTCAACCCAACACTCTCCAAGTGAGAAGAGAATGGTAGGAAATATTTGCAACCCTAAAAGACAAGAACTGCCAGCCAAGAATTTTGTCCTGTGAAATTACCAGCTAAGTGTGAAGGTTTAACAAAGGTTTTCTAAGACAAACAGAAGCTAATATAGTTTGCCACTAGCAAACTTGTTTCTCAATACTAAAAGGAGTTCTTCTAAATGGAAAGAAAAACCGAAGCACAAAATCACAATAGCAATACAGCACCAGTAACAAGAGCAAGAATACTGTGAGGCAACAACAAAATACATAGGAGGAGGAAGAAATAAGAGAACCAGTAGAGTTAAATGTCAGAGTCTCTGTGACAGCTCAAAAAGGAAAGAAAACATAGGAATTCAAGTAAAACCTCATTGGTAAATTAACCAAAATCCAGAATACAGAACTACTGACAAAAATACTGATAGAAATACTATGGAAAGTTGTTCAGAAAGAGTAGAACGAAACAATAGAAAAATAAAACAATCAAAAATAAAACACAAAATAACTGATAATAAACAGTTTATATCATTAATTACTCTAATTATGAATGATCTGAATTCACCAATAAAGACATAGGCTGACAACTGGTGGAAAAATTCCAATCATAATATTTTGTTTACAAGAGACCCATTTAAAATCAAAATATAAAAGCAAACTAAAATAAGATCATCTATATTAATAACTCAAAGAATAAATCACAAGCTACTAACCTAATATTCAATTAAATTTTCAACTAAAAAAGGTAATCAGAGACAAAAATGGACACTATAGTGATCAAGGGAACAAGTCACTAAGAAGATATAACTCTTATTAATGTTTACGCTCCATATAGAGGAGTATAGTTCTATAAAGCAACTACTTATTAACAGTCAAAACAATGCATTAACAAAAATACAGTCATTGTCAGAGACTTTAAGGCCCCACTGACACTAAGGGATAGATCATCCCGACAGAAGATTAACAAATAAAGGTATAAAATGAAGTACTGATTAGATCAGATGTATTTACTAGACATTTACAGTTTTCCATCCTAAAAGCAATGATTACATTTTCCTCTCCGGTGCACAATGAACATTTTCAAGAGCAGACCATACACTAGGATATAAAACAAGTTTCAGAAAATATATAAAAATGGAAATTGTATCAAGCATCTTCTCAGCCCACAATGCTATAGAGCTAGAAATCAATCATAAAAGGAATCCTCGAACAACCCAAAATATGTAGAGATTATACAAAATGCTTCTGAACAACTCTTGAGTCATTGAGGAAATCAAAGAAGAGAAAATTAGACCTAGAGGCTAACAAAACTGAAGACACAAGCTACCAGACCCCATGGGATGTTTTAAAAGTAACACTACACAGGCCACATTAAATAAAGAAAATCTCAATTTAACTAACTGCAGTTAAAGAAACTAGAAAAAGAATAAAAGCAAAAACATCCCCAATCAGTAAAGGCAAGAAATATTAAAAATCAGAGCAGAAATAAATGAAGTAGAAAACAAAAGTCTAAAAGAATAAGTGGAAGGATACTAAACCTAAAAGTTTTTGTACTAACAAAAAACCATCACAAACACAAAAAGGCAACCTACAAAATGGGAAAAAATATCTGCATGCCAAACACTTAAACAGCAAGGAAACAAACATTTATCAAAAAAAAAAAAAACAACATGAAAAATCTAGTACAAAAAGATATATCTACACCTATGTACCTAGCAACACTGTTTACAATGCCAGATCATGGTGCTGTCAATAGATAAATGGATCGAGAAATTGCGGAGTATATATAATCAATGGACTATTACACAGCTGTGAAGATGAACTGGTGGGATTTGGGACAAAATGGGTGGTCTGCAAGGTTAAGATTACATTGAGTGAAATCAGTCAAAAAGTGAAAGACAGACTTTGGATAGTTTCATTATCTCATAAACACCGAAAAATCAACGACATGCAAACAATAGAAGGAATTAAACTTTGAAATCAGCTAAAAGAAAATAATGGTTATTAGAGGGAATGGGGGAAAGGCTGAGTGGATAGAAGAGGTATGGAAATGGGGTATGGACATGAATGTTTGGTGGAGGGGGGAAAAAGAAATCAGGGGACTATTTAATCTACTTAATAAAATTAAAAATAAAAACTATTTTATATCATCATGACACTGAGCTTAATTCCAAGAATTTTCGTTAATTGAGCCAGCAAATACAAGCAGATTTTTAAACATTTGTTTGAACTATCTTCCTAAATACTGTGTTATGTTTGTTAATAATATTGGTACAGTAACTCCTTAAGAAGTTTAATTCTTTATGTAGCTCAAAGAAAGTACCTAAAATAGGTTTTAATAAAATACCATAGTTACTAACAAGATGGTAAAATTTTACTATATAAATTAGATCATATGTCTTAATATTGGCTTTACATTTCCTTGAGCTCATTCACATTAAAAGTCTCAGAACAGATTTGATATCTAACTGCCTCATACCCCCCAAAAAGTATCTGAGACAACAAGAGAACTGAAGGGCTTAATTATAGCTTTGAGATTATAATGAAAGTCAACATTTAATGGTACAGTAGATGCTTTTATGATTCTATCAAACCGCTGCTATTAAAAAAGAAGAGAGGCGACAACACACTAATTCAAGCGTTCAGCTCCATAATTAACTTACCTGTATTTCTTCAAGCTAACTCATCCCTTTCATGTAGTTTTCACTGACCCCTTAATAAACTATCCAACTATACACTATCCAACTACATGTGCAGGTAAAAAAAATTTGAAGTCATTACTATACCTCATTCTTTCTCCAAAAGAATGTTCAGAAGCTAATTTTAATTATTCTTCCAATTAATTGTGCTTAAACACAGTAAATACAAGATTACACAAATCCAGATCAGACTAAAATTTTAGCCAGTCCCTACATGCCCAGCCAAACAACTCTCTCAGACTACTGCCTCTGAATCTAAACCAGGACATCTTACACTGCAGCACCTGGGATGGCCTTGCCAGGATTCGAACCTGGATCATCTGTGTAGTGAGACAGAGGCTTCCAATGAGCACAAGACCAGCTGCGGGTGCAGATCCCTTCCTCGCGATTATACTTCTGAAATGTCAGGCATTTTCAGGAAACCCAGTTAGAGAGAAACAGTTCTTACTAGATACTAGAAATAAAGAACTCAGAGAAACAAATAAGCACTTAAGAATCAAGCTACTTTCACAGCTAAAAGACACTTTCACACATTCACGCTATCTCCTTTAATCATATCACCTGGAGGTGCCCATGTCTTCAGTAGAAGTCACGGCAGAGACAGTGCAGACCAGACCCTTCCATGAGACTGACTATGCGAGGCAGTAAGAAAAATCAGGGGATAAGAACTTTACCTTGGCATTTTTCTGGATCAGGTAAAACTCTGAATCTCTTTTGAGGCAAGTTTATTCGTGGATCCCCAACTGTCAGTCCTAGAATAGTCCCTGCTGGAATTTCTGCTGGTGATGTTACTCCTTTAACAGAAAACAAACAAGAAAATAAGCTTGTAGAAAGTCATTCACAGTACCTATGTATTTGTATATATTGATTTTCAAATTTTTCTACAGAAACTTTCTTGGCTCATTATCTACTAACATGTAGTTCCTCCCCCCCCCCCCACTAGTATGTTATGGAGTGAAGTTAACATTCAAAAAGAATAAAATTTTTTACCAAAACCATTACATTAACGTAACAGGTAATTTTACAATACACACATGTGTTATCTAATAGTAGAATGCCACTATTTGTATTAACACCTCCTAAATCTGTGGTCTCATACATAAGTTAAATAGTCACCAACTTCAAGCACCTGTCTTTCTTGCCAGCTATATTATAGTAAACAGTTACAGGTTGAAATGCACCTCTATGTGCAGGTAGCCCCACTGCAAAGTGTTCTTTTAACCCACTTCCTGTTCCTCCCTTCTTCCCTCATACAACCCAGTCTTCCCTCTATATACCTCCCAACAATTCAAAAATGGCTTCTTGTCTGTGATGAAGAGAAACACTATCAGGGTTCTTACAGGTGTCAATCCACCAGTGGTGAGGCGTCTTCTCTGCATCTTCACCCCCCTGAAAAATAACACCTCTTGTTCATCAGACAAATAATGAACCAGGCTTAATTAGTTTTGTTATGATTAATATTGGCCCCCACTCTTTTAGGCTGCATGTGGGAATGAACATTTTTATGGGGGGAACCAGGGAAATTGTCACTGTATTTAACACAGTAATTAACACCAGACTAACTACCCTCTAATTAGCAGCAAGGACGTAGTTTTCTCCAAGTTAAGAAAAGGGGCCTCCCTGATGGCGCAGGGATGAAAGTTGCACAATCAAGCTCTCGGCGGCCACTTCGGCATGAGTTCAATCCCTGGTCAGGGAGCTGACCCACATGGCACAGCAAACTCTCCTTTCTCGCCCACTGCTCCCCTCAGCAGTGAATTTTACTAGATCTGCCTATTCTGCTCCCCACTCATACCTCTGGTCTACACCCCAATTCTTGTATGCATAAATAAATAAAAAGAAATCTTCCAGAAAAAATTAAGAGAATGTGCACAGCTTTCAGAGAGCTGCCTAAACATACTACTCATACCCGTGTTCTCTTTCCAGTACAGTAACTGCAAGAGGTTTTGTTGCTATTTTTCTCCCACAGCTGACTACGTCAACACCACCAATTTAAGCAATAAAACTATGCTCGCCAAGGAAAAACCGAACCATACCTTTTAAACAAAGCTTCAGCTAAAGGATATATATTTTGCTTACAGTGTTCTTGGAAATTTCAAATAAGATACACAAGCATTTAACTTATGCTTTATTCTTTTCAGAACTGGAATTAAGCAAGATTTCCCGGGCAGGCCCAAGAAGGGAACCTAGCGCCATAAATCAGTGACGTTCATGGAGGAGGGATGTGCTTCTACAGAATCTAAAGAAACAACCTGTGACATGTGTACCATGTAAGTCGCAGAAATTCAGGAAGCACAGCTTGGTGGTTTAAAGTACAGGCTCTAGGGCCAACTCCCTAGGTTCATTTCTTCCCTCTACAATTACTTAGAGTGAAGCAGCTACTGTGTTGCAGATACAATGATAACCGCTGGGAGCAGAGCAACAAATAGGAATGGCCCTGTCCTTAAATCATGAAGCTCACAGTCTAGTGAGACATGAATTTCATAAATACATAAATCTAGACATAGAAAAAAATTAAGGAAATGTGCCAGCTGCAATGAAAACAAGAGGGATATAATTTAATGTGAGGATCAAGAAAGAACTGTACAGGGAAATGAGATAGATGTTGAAACATGAAGAGTAAGGAAGATGTAGCCAAGTAAACAGTAGGAGGAGGCAGAATGTGTAGACAAATGGGAAAAAAGCAGATGTGAAGGTTTAAAGGGAGAGGAGAAGTGACATATTTTAGACCCTGAAAGGAGGTCAGTGAGGTTTAAATGAAGTAGGTATGTAAAGATGAGGCCAGAGAGGAAGGGAAGGATGAGATTACACAGTCACATCAAGGGCTTTGAAGTTTTCCTTAATACAATGAGAAGGTATTCAGAAGCTTGCTTGCTTTCTTTTTTAAAAAGATGAATTTATGCATACAGCACTGGGGTACAGGCCAAAGGTGCAGGAGTGATAGTTAGATCCACCAGAGGCAGAGCAGAGAGAGATAGAAAGACGAAGCACACTGCTGAGGGGAGCAGCAGGCAGGTCAGGAGAGGTCTGCTGCATCATGTGGGTCACCTCCCTGGCCAGGGATCGCACTGAGGTGAAGCAGCTGCGACAAGCTTCATGGTGCTGCAGTTTAACCTGTTGTTGTAGCACCAGGGAGGGCCCGATACTCAGAAGTTTTCAATCAGGACGTAAGGTGAAGTAAATGAACTGTTAAAAGGCCTTTCCTTTGCGGCCTCCTGCCGTGAAGAATAGAGTGAAAGACGTACCATTAGGGGAAGAAGCTGCTTCAGGATTTAGGCAGGAGAAACAGTGAGGAGGTAGAGAAGAGAGATAGATATAGCCCTTGGCCAGACCATTAAAACTAGACCCAGAAAATATGCTTTACACAATTACCAAAAAAATAAGAATAAAAGGCAAACACTTTTGGAGACTGTAGTGGTTCCCTTTACTCACCTCTCGGGCAGAAGTTAAGACCATTCTTGCAGCCTTACATGTTATAATAAAATTTAAATAAGTTAGATTACTTATTACATTCACTTAGCTCTGTTCTTCTAATACGAAAGACAACAAAGCATAAGCAGGGAAATAAAGATGTATAAACCATGGGCCAAAATGTAATGGCATTATACATTAGGTTTCACAAGTTTGCTGAGAAGGGCACAACTAACACAGAACATTCAGTCACATTTACGCTTACGGTGTGGACAGAAGCAGTTTTTAGTGCCTCCGTTAGGATGGAGTGTGAAAGTGGACCAATCAGCCGGAATCTGTTTATCTCCATTGTCAAATCACTGCAAAAGAGAAAAGTCTTAAAATGGAAACTCCCAGTGTCCAGGCCACAGTAAAAACAGAGCAGATCTTCACTGAAATGTTCAGAGCAAGTTCACCTCATACCTGATTATAATGCCGGTGGCTGGGGAGACCCAAGAATATGGTTGTTGTGGATCTCTAGTTCCATCACCACAAATTTTTTTAATTGGTTTACCATTTCCTCCATCATCCTTCCGTTTCCTCTTCTTGCCAATTTTCTCATTAGACAGTTCAGTTTGGCTTTTTTCTTGGGGTGCTGTCAAACAGGGGTCAGAGACGCAGGGAGCCGGGATGGTGGGTTGTGTACACTGGCACACCGCCTTTATCTCCTCCAGGATATCCTAAGAATACAATGAAACATTTAGTTTTAAATGTTGATCCTTCGGTACACTACACATTTCAATTGGTTTAATTTATGCTCCATTTTCTCTTAAAAAATTCACATTTTTACCCCTTCACTTAGTAAATAAACTAATCAGCTTGATTCAAAAGCTTCCTTGGGTTTTCAGAGCAGTGCATGGCATTTTAAGCAACAAACTCATAAATCTCAAATATTGATGAAAACAGCACCACTGCTCTGATCAAATTTTCTTTTTTAATAATATAATAGTTTATTTTTACAGAATTTTGTGCCTTTTCCCATCTCAGCTGTAATCCCCATGGGTCTCTGACCAAATTTTACAACAAATTGAAACAGAAAACTTAAAAGCGTCCACTACCTGGAAGCAGTTAGTATGCAAAAAAAAAAAAAAAAGAAAAAGAAAAAAAAGAAAGGTAAGCTTAGTGCATTTTAGAAATTACCAGAATTGCTCAAACTAATTTCTCATCTTCAAAAAGACTCTAACAAGCACCAAGATACCAAGACCCAATTCAGGCAAGGTGGAAGTGTTAATCCAAACACGTTTCAGCCCACTCACACAATGAGTTTGGTTTTCATCTCGTCTCCTACTGATGGCTTACTAAAAGCAGCTAGTTTAAGATTTGCTTTACCGAATAGTCACATAACTCTCCTCTCATATTCAAACACCAAGCTATCAGAGTGCCTTTTATACTATTAAATTTTTCCTGTAGAATTTTTTTTCCAACAGGAAGCAGTAACTATGACACAGAAATCACCAAGGATTTACCTGTTTAAGAGTAGGATGAAGCCAGATCCACAGCTGCCTGCTTTCTGAAGTGTCGCCAGGAGTCCTCTCTGGCTTCCAGATAAAAGTAGCAGGCCCCAGCATTTCTTGGGGATACTTATTTGCCCGATAAAGCATGAGACTGCCTTGGCGCTTCCCAGACAAGCAGTGAACGGCTGCAAATGTCAAGCCTGTCATAAATCAAACCAAAATGTCATGATTTCAAATAGTGACACTGTTACGTTACTTTCCTGAGGGTCACATTTGGTTAACTGTAACCCTCCACAAGGGAAGAGATTTAGCTTTTGATCACTGCCTAGATCAATAAGTTCTTAATAAATACTTTCTAAATCAATGACTTACTGAGTTTTCAATTTCTCCCTGCCTAAATTCATTGCACTAGAAAAGAGTTTCTCTCATTTTTCCCTTGACAGTGTCAGAAATTATTTAAAATCACCCCAGCCTTCCTTATATTAACATGGTCACTGGAACAATGATATTTTTATGCATGTTTAAATTCCAAAATGCTTATAGCAGACATTTGGTCATGAAATGAATAAATATGCAAGGACTAAAATAGGACTCAGCTTTGAAACAAATTTACCTGTGTCTAGGCTACACATTAAAGACAGTGCCTTTAATATTTCTTCCTCTTTTCCCTTCAACTCCAAACAACAGTAGTAGGATAAATCCTGCAAAGAGAGAGACACAATTAAATACTTAGGAATTTACATGAAGGGGAAATAGCAGGAAGCCAAGAGATGTATCAGAAAAACCCCTAGAAGTTCTAAACACAGAATAAATGCTTTATAGGTCAAAATCTGAAACCTGTCTATTCCTATAACATTAGCAAATAGTCTTAAACTAATGTGAGCCAAAATTAAAATGAATTTCCATTTAAGATATGTTATCATGTTCTACATTTATAAAGAAAATTCAAGTCCTATGGAGAGTGTAAAAACTGTTACCTCTAAGTAGAAAGTTATTCCTCCCCCAAATTAACCTAAACTAAGAAATCGGCATAGAATAAGCAAACTTATGTTGAGATTATTAACTTAGACTAGCTAATTCAGGACCTCAAGATGACTTAAGACTGAGCCTAGGGATACATGTTCAAATTAATCTAGTTCATATTTCTTCCATGCAACTCTAAACTATTACATGCAAGTTTGTGCAGTGTATACCCCAAAAAAGGAGAATAATAAAAGCCCTTACCGATTTAAATAAGATAAAGAGCTTTCAGACTGAGCTAGCAACAATCAGCATGTTAAAGAATTATAATAATATTTACTAGTGTCTCATGGGCTAGTGGGTGCCAGGCAAAGGGCTAACTGCTCACATGGGTTGTCATTTAACCCTCTCAATATCCAATGAAACAGGTCTTATTCTCTAACTGGACAGAAGAGTATACCGCGACAAGGGCTATTACTCGAAGTCATACCATGAGCTGTTTAGAAAAAGTATAAGCTCTAGAAGGAGAGAGAAGCCAACGGGAAAAGCATACCTGCAGGAGGCAGCGGTGGGTCATGGCTCGGTAGCAGGCTCGGTGGCTCTTGACTGTCGGCCGCTCCCCGAGGCAATAGCCCCACTTCTTGACCATGTGAAAGCGCTTGGCGTGCCAGATGTGAGTTTCCAGCCATATGTTCTTTTTTTGTCTACGGTTAAATTCGAGCATCCGGTTTATGTGACATCGTCTAGCTTTATGGCATTTGTTTTTGGAATGCTCTTTTTTCTGATGGACTGCTTTCTCCGCCTATATTTTCAAGAAGAGCGGTAGATCCTACTTTAGCTATCTCAAAACAAGTTAAATATTAGGAATTCAAACAACTAATTTTAGATTAAGTAGACTACCTTAAACACCTTACTAGCTTGCTTCAGTTTTAACTTCGCTATTTCTCCAATGCACAAGAAAGGAGGCCTCGTAGAAAAATGAAGAATTTAGAGGCAAGCAAACCTAGGAAGGAGTCACTTGTGGGCAGGCAAGCTTCATGAACTATGAAGATAAGACTACTTACAAAGCCTTGAAAACAGTAACTCAAGCTTATTCTGGCTTTTAATACTAGAGACCAAGAGAGAACATATCAAATGTTAGTTGTTTGTTGTTGGCTTTATTGTTTTATTTTTGACCTCTAAGGACTTGGAACCAAAATATCAAAATGGGGGGAAAAACACATTTCATGTCAGGTACCAACAGACAAATGTTAAACATTCTCACTGGGAATGAGAATTTATACTAAATCTAAAAAGTACAATATTTCTGGTTAACTTTTACTTCTAATCTCTTCCACAGTCAAGCTAAACTTTCATGGAAAAAAACCCACTTCTCCATTACTTCGTAAGCCCCTTAAGGATAAGGGCTTCATTTTGAACTCCAACCTCACCACCAGAATAGAGCAAGTACACAGCAAGCCTCAATAAAGAAATTTTTAATCAATTAGTAAAGATAGGAATATCTTAGACAATGTTTAAGCCAAGAATTTTGGTGAAGCCAAACATAAGTGGGCTTGAACAAAAATTAAATCCATGTTTAAGCTTTCAACTGATAAAGTCAGAAAGCAAATACTGTTTTGCTGAACCTTTAAACTCCAATCTGGACATATCCCCAAAATGCAGAACTAAAGCAGCATACCTGATATGGTCAAAATCTTGTTTTAAATCAATTAAAACTACTTAATACTATTATAAGAAAGGGGTTCCCAATGCTGTCTTAAAAGTAGGTATAATTACCAATGGCTGTAACCTCCAATTAATCTGGAGAGGAAAGAAGTGGCTGAATAATGATTAAACCAAAATACAGCTGAAATGAGCACTTTCTTTGTTTTGTTTTTCATCTTAATAGTTTTCAACTTCTTTTCAGAACTACCATCCCACACATTTACACTAAGTGAAATATATACCTCTTTCTGGGCAATCTCCTGTAACCGGCGAGGGAGACGCTTGACATTGTGGCTCATGGCTCTTCGCCTCATGTGACGTGGCAGAGTCTGGAAGACCAGAGAGTTAGAGGACTTCTGGGTCACTGCTTTCAACATGGCACTAATTTCAGCAGCTCGGGCTTGAGCAAAAGTAGCAGCTGTTGAAGAAAACGGCACCGTTATTAAAAATGAGTCCGGAATCAAAAGTCCTTCTAGTGGATTTCAGAAGAAGACAGATTTGAAGTACTTCTTCATCCACCACTCTCCACTCCCTGAGTAGATTAACACCATAGTGTTTATTTCTGTTTTACAATGGTGAAAATCTTCTTCAACATGCATATGTTTCAGGTTTTACACAAGGATTCAATGTTATCTTTCTAATCAGGGAAAGAGTTCAACAAGCTTACAAGACTTTTTTAAAACACAAGGCTACATTCAATATAGGTGTACAATATAATCACAATCATTTATTTAAGTACAGTAATCACAAAAGAAAACAGACAAGAACTAGCTTGACTCCAAGAGTTTTTTTCCAAATATATGACCATTACGATTATTAGTTTTCTTTACTAAAATCTACCTTTTTAGGATGAATAAACAGAAGGCTGGGAAAATGTAAAGAACACCTTGGAGAATGTATAAGGAGACCAGGAGGCACACCAAGTATGCACACAGAATACAAGGTTATGTGGAAGTGTGAAGAGTGCTGGGAAAAGCCTGGAGGAAAGCTATCTAAAGGTCTTGGTTGCGCTTAGAAAGTTAAATCTGATTCCATCTTTAGATAATGCGGTGCTAAGGGATGTGGACAGTGTTTCATATTTAAAAGGAGGAGCAACAGATGTAAGGCAAAGGAAAGAGTTCACATATAAGGACTTAACACAAGGCTGAGTAAGAGAGAGGAGAGAAACTGAAGAAGGGAAAGCAATGGGGCAAGGAGCCCACAGCCAATTTCCAGGCTGGAGTTGAGAGGGGTAGGGAAGAGAGGAACGAACGGGCAGCAAGGGTCAAGACAAATCAGAGGGCATTAGAAATCTGCAACAAAAAAGAATTCTGGTTGCTTTCAAAACAAAGAGTACAAGTATCCTCAGATTGTGCTTCTGTACAAATACCTACCAGTGATATACTTGGGAATCTCCTGAGCAGTGCCCTCAGGACCTGCTTTCCATCCTCCCTTTTTTTTGAAGGTGACTTTGGAGGAAGAGTGCTCATTTGCATCAGGATCAGCCAGCGAATGGTGGGTCATTTTGGTGTGACGATGTCTTGAATTTCCAGAATGAGGCTCTAGCACAGTTTCAAAAAGAAAACAGAAATGTCACCCTTATCAGATGTAAGTGTTTCTGTAGGGAACTAGTATTTGCTGCATGGCAAAACTGACCAAGTTCTAACCCTCCAACCCTCTATAACCACTCTACAAGGAGGCAGGATCTTGAGCAGGGAGGTGAATGAACTTGTCCAAAGACACAGAACTAGAAGGTGGCACACTAACTGCTCTGACAGTGGGACATGGAAACAACACATCAGAGAAGGGATACACGGTAAATTTCCTCTACACGCAACATGGATTTTAGATCTAAATTCCCTTAAACACAATAATCCACATGCTTCTCAGTCTTTATTATAACTCTCTAGCACTCAAGTTGTGTAACCCTGTGCTACCTAAACTAAAGAAAGAAATAAAAGCAAAGTCTTTATACAAATGTCTGGACATCTGAACCATTTTGTCTTTAAGACAACATCAAATCCTGGACTGAATAAAGAAACAAGCAGAGAATTTCAGTATTCCTGTTTATTTCAGCTGTAGTGTTAATTATTAAATACCTGTAATCTTGAACATGTTATGAGGTTTGTCACTGTGAGTTATGTAGAAAAAGTTTACCATATGGTATAGTTGGCATCATTGCTGAATCTGAATCTAAATCTTAAAGACTATGAACCCAAGACTTACTTAATCAGATCCAATATACACTGTTTTTTAAAGTGTCCTCAAAAAGTTCTTGGTCACCTGCTTGGTTGTCTTCTCAACCTGTCCTTTTCAACTGACTTCCAATGAATAGCTATCATCTTCATAAATAAGGTTATAAAATCAACACGCAGGGTACTGCAGGTATAAAGGACTGCACTGTATTTCTTTTAGGAAATACAGAAATTACAAGGTTTGTCATTTTGAGTTAATAGCTAGTCACTGATATTAAGGTAGAGAAAAATACAACAGCATTAAATACAGCTGTTTCTCATTAGTAATGGTAGTTATATTCTATAAAGTCACAAAGGACATAGCAAAACCGAACCACGCTGGATAGACCTCACACAGATTATAATATTAAATCATAATATTAAATCATAGAATGTTTATATACATTCACAAGGTGTCTGCTATGAAACTTATGATGTGACAGCCGTGACAATGTTAGCACTTGTGAGAGAGGTGTGTACCTGGCATTGAAGTTACTTTGTTCTTTTTGGGAGCCCCCCCCACCACCAATTTCAATTGTTGTAAAACAATTTTCACATTTGTTACATATTTTATACTGTAAAACTTGGAAAATAAACTGAAATTTCAAATTCAAAAAAACCTCTTTTTTTAAAATACAGGTTTTGGGTTTTTTTTAAAGATTCACCTATCCATGCATACAAGAACTGAGGTGCAGGCCAGAGATGCCTGGGAGTGCATGGGGGAGTGAGAGGATTCACAGAGACAGAGTAGGCAGAGTGACTAAAACACACTGCTGAGGGGAGCAATGGGCAAGACAGGAGAGGTCTGCCATGCCATGTGGGTCACAGATTTTAATTCCTTTATTTTACGAAAAGAAAATGAGGGTCAGGGGCCTCATTTAAGTGATGTGTTAAGTGACGTGTCTGAGGCCTCCCCACAATTACAGTGAAACCCCAGTCAGAGCTGGTGCTTCTTGCATCATGCTGCCCTGATCCCTGCTGGCTACATCCTTTAGTCATCTTAGGATGAAAGTTGAAACAAGAAGACAGCTGGGAACATCTATTTGGGATGATTCAAAATTTTCTTCCCACTTTGCACATGTTCACCAGTGACCAGACAAGTGCCTTAAGAATCGCTTCTGGGTTTCCAGTAAATGCCAATGACTAGGTGAATACATAAATGAGGGCCGATATCTGTTGTTTTTTTTTTTTTTTTCAGTTTTTGCCTCACAAGTTGTTTTTTTTTATATAAGTTTATTTTTACATCATTTTGTACATTTTTTTTTCCATCTCAATTGTAATCCCCATGGGTTTCCCATCACCAAGTCACCCGTGTGCCATCATCATAACCCCGTGCACTTCCCTCCCTACCCCAGTTTCTGTTTTAATTTCAGTTCATTTACTCAAAAGGACTTGACAAAAATAATATGATCCAAATGGGAATAGAGAGAGATCATGTGTATCCTACCAGATTTCTGAGTTTGAAAAGGTTTTCCACCTCCATTATGATGTGTCATGCTTCGATCAGCTACAAAGCCAGAGGATAAAGTGACATTGGTGGGCTGGTTTCTCATTTTCTTAGCATGTTTTCTTTCTTTTGCATTAGACATTTCTGGAAAGAAAATAACAAATTTAGTACGGTGAAAGGAAATTCCCTAACTAAAACTAAAGTTAATGAATTCATTACTTAAATTTAATGAATAAATATTTGTACAAATACATAATGAATATAATAAATCACCATGTAGTATAGATGATGTGATGATATAAAAATGTTATATTGAGCTCTAGCAGGGTTTCATAAACAGGGGTTCTCTTACAACTGTGAATGATTTAACACCAAAAACCTGATTCAATAGCAAAAACAATTCTTACTGATAGAAGAATTATACATTTAAATTTTCACTGCCAAATAATTAAATCTTACACCAGTATTGACACAACATAAATTCTGCTGAAAGAATGAAAATATAAGTGTTGTGTAAGACCCCTATACCACTGTAAAATAATTGAATTAGCTACATTTTATCTAATTTTTAGGTGAAAGAAGAGACATCTGAATGAAATATTATTTTAATATGATAGCCTCTACAGAAGGTGATCGCATATTATTAATGTTTTCACTCTATTACTAAGATGAAGGCAGCTGGATCTTTAATTTATAATCGCAAAAAAAATTCATATTGAAGTAGGAAGGAAAAAGGACAAAAACCTAGTGAAGCCTGGTGGATTACCCAGTAGTGCTCAAATCTCAAACTCAAGCCCTTCTCCTACCTTTTTAAACTGAATTGCTTGAAACAATTTCATTTTGAAATTAAATGCATTAATGTAATAACCTACTAGACATACCTATAGGACATTGATACATGTCCTATAAAGTGACCTAATGCAAAGGAACACTAAAACGTCACTTTATGTATTGCCTGTATGTAGTAGAGCTTTGCACAAGTAGTTTATGAGTTCCTACTCTTAAAATAAGCGCAGCAACAGCGATTTATGACATTTCACTTTGTCACTCCATTCTTTTACATGAACGAAACACAACTACATCCACAAGCATCGCAGAAATGCTTTTCAAATTAAACAGTATGTAGGAAGTAAATGGAGTTCTGCAGAACCGATGAGCTATAAGGAACATGATTCATGTCAGTATGTTAACAATAACATTTCAAAATTATTTTATAAAAAATTCAGTCCCACTACTTTTATGTGCTTATATATAAATTCCCCAGGAGAAGTTTCGTATACTATTATGGGAATCCTGACCAAGGCTAGAATGGTCAAAGAGGAGGCTGCAATGCAGGATTGGGTTTACCTTGGGAAGTCCCATCTCTGATCTTAGACCCAGGCTTTAAAAACAAGCAGATAAAACCAACAGTGGTCCTCAGTTTCAACAGCAGAAAAAAAAAATGAACATAGAGTGAGTCTGAGAATTTAGGTTAAAACATTAGCCTCCAAAAAAAAAAAAAAAAAAAAAACATTAGCCACCATAAGGAACCTTACTTAACTCTTACCTTAACATT